AAGGGTCAAATTGTTAAAATTTTTTATTTTTTTTTCTGAATTTTTCGAATGTTCGAGTGATAGTCCAGGCGTTCCGGCGAGCTAGGTAAATTGAACCTCCGAAGGCAGAGCCCATAATCGTCCATAATTATTCAAGCTTTTTGTAAGGAGAAGTGGAGTGGACTGCATTGAACAACCCTGTGAAGTTTCACATCAGAAAGTGGTGAGGTAGCAGCGGTAGGAAACAAGGTTGCTCAAAGATACATGGTACGATAACACATAGATTGGGTGTGCGTGACTATCAGCCCGCCAGCTGTCAAAGCGCCGCGCGCGACACGCGCCGCGTGGACGGCTGTTAGCATGAAGGGAGTCTGCGCCGCAAAAAGGTATTGGGCGGAGCATGGAGGAATTAGCGTGTTTCACGGTCCTGTATCTCCATTCCTGCGCATGTTAGGACGGGGAAACCGCTACGCTTCGACAGCTGGGGTGGGGGGGGGGCTGATAGTCACATCCAAACTACGTGTGTCACACATGTGTCTTTGAGGGCTCCTCTTTGATAGATGTCTCCTGCTGTCTTGCTCGTACTCTGTTGTTTCTTTCTCTGGGCTCCCGCCCGATATCCACAGCAATTCTTTATCTTCTTGCTCTGCACTAGTAGGCACTTATTTTCAGCACCCTCAACGGTTTCCTCGTGAGTCAACTAGCACATACACATCTGTCTCTGACCTCGCTATCAATGTCTCTTTTCGTACTCTCATAGCGAATTCCGCGTTTGAGCTCTTTTGGCAGCGTTCAGACTTCGCGACGGCAGCGCTTTGGTCGCGCGCTCAACGCGATCAATGCAATTGAAAGCATGCACATCGTCGGATCGCGCGACCGAAGTGCTGCAGCCGCGAAGTCTAAAAGCTGCCTTTGCGTTTCTCATTGAACAAAAATGGCGTGGCGTATCCCCGAAAAAAAAACATTTTAGCAACACAAAATGAAAATGTTTAGCTATTGCTGAAAATGAAGAGCTTACGCATTTTTCACTCACTAGGAAATGATTCTCTATATTGTGATAGGCTGGAATAATGTCAGACATAGCTCTGGGAACTCTTTGCAGATGCTCCTCGATTTCCTTGAAGTACGGCACTACCTCGAGATCTGAAAAACGTTCAACTCCTGTCAAAGGGCATGCTCATACTCGGGGCATATCATTCGTCGGGGATTTTATTCGAGTCCATACGACCCCCCGGCCCTCTGTCCCTCGCTGTCGAGTGGGGGGATATATACAGTCCTCATCATTGCGGACCGGTGGGGCGTGTCAGCCAGTATGAGTGTGCACACTGTTGAAGCCGTTCTCAGCCTTTTTGTTGAAACGCGTATGCGACAAAAAGTGGTAGAAAACGAGTAATACGAAGGATATAATACAGTAATGTCACTTGCCCGCTTCAACAACTGGTGCAGAACGACTTTGGCACCGCGCCAAACGCAGCCGCACTGACACGCCCCACCGGTCCGCGATGATGAGGACTGTATAGTTTCCCAGCCCTCCTCCTTTTATAACAACCGTGAAGGAAGAAAAATCAACTATC